AAGGTAAAAAAAACCTCTTGATTAGTTTGGTCAGTTTACTATCATTAATCTTTTTTTCAGCAGGTAAGAATTATTCAAAGGGAGAGATTGGAAAATAGAATTGAAGGATTGAAGAGCACGTAAATCGAATCGATTTTACAATATTCATGTACATTTCATAATTAAAGTGCTTAGTCTGTGTCGGAACGTCAAGACACTCATAAAACGATTAGCGAAAAATTTAGGAGTACAGTATCCTGTGTTGGCAAGTTGTAGGTGAGTTAAAGATCATTCAGGAAACTACTGGGTATTTAACACTTTAGGGACGGCAGTTGATGGATCTCACAGCGCAACTCGCAAGAGGCGCGCAATTTTCGCTATTCAGTCAGGGGTTCTCCTCTATTTGGAAAGTAAAACCTGGGTTTTTTGTGCTGCTCTGATACTCCATGACTTTCTCTTACATGGCCATAGGTTCTACGTGCATAACAACTTTTCTGTACGATAAAAACTTTGAGTGCAAAACGTAATCTTCTTTCTCGCTCTTGCAGCGTTCTGTGATAACCTTCTAGATAATCAATTACGGAGTCGAAAACTTGGATTTGGGCTATCGAACTATTAGAAAAGTTTGGCGAAGAGACATTCACAAGCCCACTGCCTAACAAGCAATGCAAACTGAGTGTGAAACAAAATTTTATTTTCGCTGCTACACCGTAATATAAAGGTCTAAAAAAAAGAATGTTTAAAGCCTAAGCGAGGTTGGTACGCCAGGGCCATACAGGCGTGTTTCGGAGGTCTGGCCTTCCTCGTCAGTGACCCACGCCCTACCTTAGGCCCTGCATTGTAGCAATGAGGGAGGCGTATGTGGTGACGGCACAGAGTACAGTGACACTGTGCCATCACCACTTCTCAGTCGATGCATCTCGGCTGATGGAACAACATTGATCCATGGCATCGACTGTTCTTAAGACCTCACAATAAACATTCAAAATAATTTAGTAAAAAAAAGGTTGTTCAAAGCCTAACCGAAGTTTTACGCATGTATGGCTTCGCGTACCAACCTCGCTTAGGCTTTAAAAATTCTTTTTTTTTCGAAATTACCTTGAACGTTTATTGCCAGGTTTTAAGAACAGTCGATGTCATGGATCAGTTATGTTCCAGCAGGTTTCTAAAAAAATCAAACATATTGTTGAAATCGCACTGAGTTAAGGTTTCGAATGACTATCAAATGTCTTAGAGAAAATTTCTGCTTAGACGAGAAAAGCCTTCAAATTAATGTGAACCTCAGTTGATACACGTCGTCCCTTAAAAGTTAATGGTGCTTCACTAAGTTGATGTTTCTAAATCATAGAGAACTCTTGGATCATCTGTATCAGCCAGAGTTTACAGTTTTAGCAAAGTGGTAGCAAGGCGGTAGCGCTGACAGTCTAGTGGTAGCACGCGTCTTTTGTATGACTTTTTAGTGGGTTCAACTACCGCCTAGGGTCGTATTTTTTGCATTCCAACGAAGTATTCTTTCTTGGGCGTATCTTCAACATCGCTCAAAAATTTGCAGTACTCCTGGATTATCAAGTTTCCTGATGTTGTAAAAATGTTTTTTGATGATTTTCAGTCGTTCTGTTCGTAAAACTGATGGACGCGCATTGAGCCGCAATCACAGATCTCTGTGACAACCAGGATCAGACTCTGATCTCAACCCTTAGCCAATTTTACTATAGCAGATATCTCAAAATCGTTCAGGTCACTCAAGTTATGACGCTGGAGCTTGTGTTTATTTCTACTTTGGTTTCAATACTCGAGGTTTACATAATGGTTTAGAGGTCTACGATAAGATCGAGGTTGGTGTTATTATTGAAGTGTTTTTGCTGTTTTTTGAGTTACCTTTTGAATTATGGCCCTGACAAAATATCACTAACTGATGGCTTTTCCTTTCGTGTAGTTACATGTTCACTTATCAATTATTATAGTGTTCAGTGATAAAACAAGGGTAAAATTATGGAGCTCGGAACATCTAGTGGATAGAATTATCCTGAAAAAATTCGCTCGTGTGCACATATTTGACTATATGCGTGTATAAGATAGTTTATTTTAGACAGCTGCTCGAGACGAAATCATTGCGTGTGGTGGAAGTATTTCACATCATCATGGTATTGGAAAACTTAGAAAACAATGGATGCTTACAACACAAGGAGTCGTTGGGATAGCGCTTGTTGAAAGCCATAAAGGTAATGTTAATTCATATTGATCTATGGTCTTTGGTATTTATCTTGACAAAATAACATTACTTGGGCGCGTTATCCCAGCAAAATAATCGAAAAAAACAAATTTGAAAGTAGAAATTGGTACTGCGAGCAAAAGATTGGATAAATGATTGGTGAATCATTACTGTACATTTGTTTGAAGCTCTCATAGACTTTCTAAAACTTGAACTCTCCAGCTCAGTAAGATTATTTGAGTTTATAGATAGTTTGTCTTAAGATGACTGTACAGAACTCTTTTTTATTTGACCGCTACTAAAGGTGGTATAATGTTGTAAATATAGCCATTGACGGAGGGTGATATGTAGAACTTTGCGACAGGTGGAACTCGAACTCATATTTTGCAACGGCTCAAGCACGCTTCCCCGGATAGGGTGAAATGTGGATTCGAGTCCCAGCTGACGCAAAAGTTTTGCATATCACTCTACGTCATGGGTATAATTTATCTTTGTGAATGGCTCATATGTGAGATTGTGAGCACTCTCTATTGCTACTACATATTGAAGGTGGCATATATATATATATATATATATATATATATATACATATATATATATATATATAATAGCTCTGATAACTTTTGAATCTATTCTTTTTTTTTGGACTTTCTCTCCGGTTTCCATTTACTCAGCTAACTTCAGATGGAACTCGATCCAGCAAACATCTTCGCCAACGCCAATCTGGTCGACATTATCGGATTCACCGCACAGCAAATTGTGATAATTCAATAATCCACTTCAAGCAATAAAGTTTTCAACTTTCTGGTGGTACAAACGTGAAACCGTAGCTTGCACAGACTTAATCGACATACATAAAATTTATGGCTATATCTGTTACAATGCATCTATCAAATCGTTCGTGAAATACCGAACTGTGGTTTAATAATGCTTATGCGATTTTTTCGTGATAAGTAGTGAGGAAAGTTGATAGATGGATTGTTAATCGGAATGAAAGACTTATGCTCTCAAAACGTGAATTGAATACGTATTGATCGATTGCGATCGAATCCGATAGAGACTAATCATAAGCACCGGCGACAGTGTTGCTAACAAAGACGAGGTAAACCCGGATGATTAAGGTCTATTGAAGGAGTAGCAAGCTTCTCTTGCGCTGTAACATCACAGGCGTTTCAAGGCGTTACTTGCGTAGCGATATGGAATTCTCTCAAATTGAAAGCTGAAGATATAAAAAAATGAATCAGGGAAAAACAACATGATTCTGAGAAGAAAAGAGCCTGCTAACAACTGAAAGACAATGGATAATGGCAGGCAAGTAAATAGACTTTACACATCTTGACTGCTCAAGAAAAGCATGGAATAATATCATTGCACTGGCTTGTCAGAGGTCATAAAATCTAAGAAGCAGATGTGAAACGCCAATAATGTTGCTGATAATGTTTACAACTTACTTCTGCTCAGAAAAGTACGTTTTAATCAAGTTAGCATCGTCCGCAAGAGGCTTTGCAGAAGATTTTCATAAATTTACTCTCGCTATTACATTCGCCAATTTTTGCCCAATATCCGCAAAAGAGATTCTTGTCCGTACATTTTTCCTGTCCTCCAGCGACTTTTTCGCCTCCACCTCTACCATTACCGTCCTCGACTTTTTTCTTTTTGCTGGCATACGTCGTCACAGTAGTGGCTGAAGAAGGAGACCCTTACTAAACTTGTATATAAGTAAGAACTCCTTGAGAAGGAATGAACAAATAAGGATAACAAAACTGTTTTTTGAGCAATGTCAGGAGTTTTCAATTTTTCAACATCCAGCTAATAGTGATGAGTGATATGCAGAACTCTGAACCTGTGACACGAGTTGAACTCAATGCAAGGTGAAACGCGAGTTCACTCTCACCTGAGCTGCAGAGCCCTAATAACACTTAACATTATTGAACATGAAGTTGTAATGTTTTGAAATTGCTAAGAAAAGCTAAAATAGAAATATCCGCGGATTTCAACAATTATTTTCTGCCTAAGTCACTGGTTATCGGCAGGATATGATGTGAAACATTATTAAGGGTGCTAGGAGACCAAACAGAACAACGGAATCGGAGGTGGATGCGAGTGACAAATATCTCTTAGAGGTTCACTAAGTTCTTTCAATATTATTTGAGCCAACTTGTCATGTTGTCTGTTAAGGGCTCTTGTACAGTCCGATACACGTGTTTCGTCTTTACAGACTAGTCAGTATGGCAGAACCCGTCGTCTTTCGATAATTTTGAAAGTCAGTTCCTCCGGAGCTCTGCTCCTTTACAAAGAGTTATCGGAGACAAACGTCTTACACTCTATGTCAGCGAAATTTCACCAAACACAGAGTGTTTTTGCACTCGATTGCTAACTGGCTGGTATTTTTATCATATTGTACCTTTCCTTCGAGTGCTTTATTAAGACCACGCTCAAATTTCATAAATCCTTTCATTATTATTTGAGCCAACTTGTCATGTGATCTGCTAAGGGCTCTTGTACAGCCCGGTACCCAAGAGAACTGACTTCAAAAATATCGAATGACGACGGTTTCTGGCTGACTGACGAGTCTGTAAAGACGAAACACACTTTGTGCAGCTGGCAGTATCAACTGATGCAACATTTCTGCCCTTTATTGATCGAGATCGCCTGATTTGGTCGCCTGTCTGGCAGAGCACCGTACTGTTAAGCGCCGAGGTTTAAGCTCCAAACTGTGGTTGAATAATTATAGAATTTCCTATTAATATCTTGGAAATTAGTCACAAGTAACGTGTACAACTATCCTGTCAGTTGGGCATTATTTCACGCCCGGTAAGCTCAGTCGGTAGAGCACCAGACTCTTCATCTGGCTATCGCAGGTTCGAGCCCCGCACCGTGCTGGCGTTTTAACACTCCTTGGCCAAAATATTTTGCACAGCTAACAGCATCAACTGATGCAACTTTTCTGTTCTTCACTGATCGGAGATCGCCTGGTTTGGTCACCTGATTGGCAGAGCACCGTACTGTTGAGCGCCGAGGTTTGAGCTCCAGACTGCGGTTGAATAATCATATGAATTTCCTATCAATTACCTGTATCACCTGTCGTCCCGTTGATCGTCGAGTGACTCGAGCGGGTACCAGCAACTCTTCCATTTTTCCCTATCGCGTGCAAGAGTAGCCCAGTGGGTCCTCCTCGCTCTAGGGATTCGCTGAGCATCATATCTTTCTTCTATCGCTTTCGTGAAGAAATCGGACCAACGGGTCAGTGGTCTTCCTTTAGAGCGCTTGACGTCCCGAGGAATCCAGTCGGTAACGGCTCTCGTCCATCGGTTGTCGTTGAAGCGCATCACGTGTCCGGCCCACCTTATTTTCGATATCCTGGCGTGTAGAACGGCGTCTCTGATTTTCGATCGTTGACGTAGGTCGGAACTTCGGATCCTTTCTCTCATTTGCGAGATACGGGATACTCCTAGCATCGACCTTTCGACTGCGCGTTCGATAACGCCAAGTGATCTTTCATCCTGCTTACGTAGCGACCAGGTTTCTGCTGCATACGTTAGGGCAGGGATAATTGTCGAGTCGAAAAGGTGGGCACGGAGTCGGATGTTCTTTGTCCTCTTCACTACATCTTCGATGCTCTTAAACGTTCCCCAAGCTGCTCGTTTCCTCCTGCTCAACTCTGGGGCTAGGTCGTTCATCATGTTGATTTCACGACCTAGATAGACGTAACTGGAGCATTCGGAGATTGTCGTTCCGTTGAGCGTGAATGGGGCATTCGAAACCCATCCGTTCCTCATGAACATTGTTTTCGTTAGATTTAGTTGAAGACCAGTCTTTCCACAGGCGTTATCGAAATCGGTCAACATTCGTTCCGCTTGGCTGATGTTTGGTGTTATGAGAACGATATCGTCAGCAAAGCGAAGATGGTTTAATTGTCGACCGTCAATTTTCACTCCCATTTCGTCCCATTCTAATGTTCGCATGACGTTTTGTAGGGTGGCAGTGAATAGTTTTGGCGAAATTGTATCGCCGTGTCGAACCCCTCTTCTTACGTCGATGGTGATATTGTTGTAGAATGGAGATATTTTGGTCGTGAAATCTTTATAAAGCTCACGAAGGATCATTATGTACTGAGTAGGGACGCCCTGGTTTTATCCAGAGCCTCTATAACCGCTTCTGTTTCCACTGAATCAAAGGCTTTTCTTCAGATCGATGAAAGTGAGACAGAGTGGTTGTTTGTACTCTCGTGAAACTTCAATGAGTCTTGTAATCGTGTGGATGTGGTCTATGGTACTGAATCCTTTTCGGAACCCTGCTTGTTCGCATGGCTGTCCTTCGTCCAGTGTTCTGTCAATCCTTTTAGGATGACTCGAGTAAAGAGTTTATAGACAACGGACAGCAAGCAGATTGGGCGATAATTGTCTATGTCGTGAAGGTCTCCCTTTTTGAACAACAATACGGTCTTGCTGGTTTTCCATTGAATAGGGACCTTGCATTCTGACAGGTAGCGAGTGAAGAGCCGAGCCAGGGTGTTGATGAGAACTGGCGGCAGGTTCTTCAGGTGTTCTGGTCCAATCCTGTCTGGACCGGGTGTTGTTCTGTTTTTCACCGACGATATAGCATGTCGGATTTTGAAAGGAGGACCGGTGGAGCGACATATTCGTCCTCTTTCAATTTATATGACGGTAAGAGGACATGGCTAGCGAAGAGTTCCGAGTAGTATTGGTGGATGATTTTCTCCATAGCCCTTCTCGAAGCTGTAAGTGTCCCGTCAGGGTATCGGAGTGCATCATCTTGGTCTTATAGTTGGCGAAGCCTCGCTGGGCTTTGCGAATGCTCTTCCCAGCTTCTGCAGCTTCTGCCATAACTGCTGCTCTTCTCTCTTAGAGGTCTTCTTTTATCGCTTCTCTGCAGCGTTTCGCAAGTTCGGACGTAAGGTTTCGGTTGCCTGTAGCTCGTGCGATTCCACGTTGACGTATCAGCTCGAGTGTCTGCGGAAAGAAGCGTCTCTTCGTGACCTTAGGACTCTCGGCTTTCATAGCGCTAACGTGAAGATATTCAACGAGTCATCGTATTCTTCGTCGATGTTGCCGACAACGGTATCTTCCCAAGAGCCGACTATTGATTTGAATACATCCCAGTTTATGGTAGTTCTGGGACTTCGTTGTTTGAATTTGGCGGCTTTCTCTCCTCTCCTCGAAAACGGAACGTTGCGCAACGGAGGCGATGGTCTGATCCCGTGTAGAACTTAGGAACAACAGCGACATCGGTCAGGCAAAACCTTCGATTCACTAAGATGTGATCTATTTCGTTATGGTACTCTCCATTGGGAGACTCCCACGTCCATCGCTGAGAAAGAGGCTTTTGGAATTGCGAGTTACCATGGATGGTTTGAGTCGTCATGATAAACTCAGACAGCGTCTCACCCTGTTCATTCCATTCTAGTCCGTGGATCCCTAATGTGACGTTCTTCAGACGTTGTTCTAGGTCCAATTTTTGCGTTCAAATCTCCGACAATGACCTTGAAGAATGTATGATCTTCTCTGAAGAATTTTTCGAGTTCCATATACAACGCTTCGAACGAATTTGAAGAATTCCTATTAAAATCTTGGAAAATTAGTTATAAGTAACGCGTGCAACTATTCTGTCATTCCGCCGCTGCTTGACGTCCGGTTAGCTCAGTCGGTAGAGCACCAGACTCTTAACCTGATTGTCAAGGGTTTCACGCCAAGCATCGGGTTGCCGTTTTAAACGATCCTTGGCGAAAGATATTTTGTACAATTAACAGCATCAAATGATGCAACTTTTCTACCCTTTATCGATCGGAGATCGCCTGATTTGGTCGCCTGTCCGGCAGAGCACCGTACTGTTAAGCTGCGAAGTTTGAGCGCCGGACTTAGGTTGAATAATCACATGAATTTCCTAATAATTCTCGAAATTAATTGTATTTTTAGTGCTTTCGCACTGTTATGACGTTTCCTATATTCCTAAGAGAATTGAGTGGTAAGCAAAAAACACGACCTCAGGAGGGAATCGAACCCACGTTTCATCCTATTCGGGGACGCGTCCTCTACCACTACACCACTGAGGCACATTTGCTCTACCACTCATTCTTCAACATCTCAACAATTAGAATAGCTGTTAGCTCAAGTGGGTTTATGAAGCGAAATCGCATACCCGACCAAACCTGCCAAAGGTTGGTGGCTGATAGCTAACATTGAGATGTTGAAGAATGAGTGGTTGGGCAAATGTGCCTCAGTGGTGTTGGGAACACGCGTCCCCTGATAGGATGAAACGTGGGTTCGATTCCCGCCTGAGCGTGTTTTTGCTTACCACTTAATTCCTAATAATATTTTGGAAAATTAGTTACAGGTAACGCATAGAACTCATCTGTCATTCGGCCATTGTTTGACGCCCGGTTAGCTCAGTCGGTAGAGCACCAGACTCTTAATCTGGCTGTCGCGGGTTCGAGCCCCGCACCGGGCTGGCATTTTAACGCCCCTTGATCAAAAACTATTTTGTAAAGCAGACAGTATCAACAGATGCAAAATTTCTGCCTTTTATCGATCGGAGATCGCCTGGTTTGGTCACCTGTTTGGTAGAGCACCGTACTTTGAGCGCCGAGGTTTGAGCTCCAGAATGCGGTTGAATAATCATATGAATTTCCTATCAATTACCTGTATCACCTGTCGTCCGTTGAACGTCGAGTGACTGGTATAAATTGGCAGGCGGCCCAAGTAAGAAACCAAAAAGTCGACTTCTTCAACTTTCTTTATTTTAGTGAATATCCTGTCCTGGTGATGTTCTCAAATTGCAAGCTATTTTCAACAGTTATCTTGACCTTGTTTTCAGGTGAACATTTGATATGAAAGACTTTTTTCTAGGTTCCACGTATGTCAAGCGGTCCCGATCATCATCATATCATTATGGGCTCTGAAGGAACACTTGGCGTTGTAACTGAGGTAATCAACTCGCTCATTATTCTTGTAATTTATCATAAAAGTCAGCGAGGTCCACTCTGATTAGCTTTTTGCTCATCAACAGCCATTTTCACCGCCTACGAAAATTTCATTACTCCTTGTCATGCAAAAGACCTCCTAATGATCCCTATTAGTTTTATTATTACAAAGCTTATTATTGTCTTGTTATCAACGGGAAAAGAAGAAACAGCTATTTACTGTGGTCAAGAGTAGTAATACTGAAATAATTTTTTTATATGCGCACTACGTCATGGGAAAGAGTGCCCCACACTCGCATCTGCTCGAGGTACAGCAGAAAAACAGCTATATAAAGTGACAAAGTAGAATATCATTGGAAGAAGTGCCCTTGGAACACTGATATAGTACATAAACGCTGATATAAATTACAAAGTGCGAAGAACCGCAGTTGATCAATCATATCGGAATGCGTTGAATTCATCGTCAATCCAAGTTTATAAAGTAAGGTGGAAGTCATGAAAAACTCCATTATCATGGGAGCAAGATAGAATCACTAAACGCATGTGTTCTTTCAAGGGTAAAATCGGTTCTTTTCTCCTATCTGCACCCATTTTCAAAACAATTTCTTTTACTCTCTCTGAACATTTTGTAATCATTCAATAGCTTAAATTTCGAAAATTTGAACACTGTATTTCGTTTTTAGATAGCCTTTACATTACACTGTGACACTAAAAGTGAAGTTTCATTCACACGCAAGCATTCTTCGCAGGGCACAGCCTTTCGTTTGAACTTTCAGTAAACGTTCGATCGCACAAATTTCAGCGATTTTAACGATGTACTTGGTTTTTAGGACATCTTAATGCGTTGTTGTAGCTAAAAGAGTTTTAGGTTCACTCTCGACGTGCATCTCTTGCAGCAAACGAATAGCAGTAACAAAGAAAAGACGACTGTTCTCGAACCAT